TCCACAACAGGAGCATGGGAAGTGAAAGAGGTTCAGGATAGCCACTCCCTAGAATCTCACACGGTATATCCACTAGTTGCTGTAGTATACATTAGTTTGGGAAGATTCTGTCTATAAGGTGTAAGCTAATAAAGGAACTGGACTGGACTGGACTGGACTGGACCATTTCATCGTTGTTCTTGGGCTGGGCCTGACAGCTGGCCAGGGCCCTGGACTCCCATCTTGATGTTACCATGGATAACATCATTGCTGTTACCACTGATCATAGGATAGTTTACCTTGTTGACAAGAACTATAACCTTTCCACACTCTTTTGCTTCTCTTTTTTTATCCAAGTGGTCTTTGGCAATGTAAACAGCAACTCGGGTCTTGCCACTGCCTGTGGGGAGGCATATAATAATATTTTTCCCTTCCAAGGCTGGTTTGGCCACTTCCATCTGATAGCCTCTCAGACTCAGCTCTTGTTCAGGTGAAGATCTTTTGTCTTTACTTTCAACATAATCTGCAGATGAAAAAAATAAGACAAATTAATGACAATGAAAAAAGGAAAAGTATTATGATTTCCCTTAGTAAGTGTACTATATTTCCACCTCCCCCATAAGACAGATGCAGCTGTAGCTCATCATCTACCAACTTGGGGCCTCTCAATTCCAGAGAATTGTCTGTTTTCATGGGTTTATGACTGATTCTACTGTTTGGAGTGGTTAGGGCAGTGCGTGCTTCAAAAACTTTTCAGAGGGGCTTCAAACTTCATGCAGTGCACACATGGCACCTCTCTGCTATTTATCAAAGCATCCCATCTGTTGGCAGATTTAAGCACTTCTTTTCAAGTCCAAAGTAATTCTTCCAGATTATTTTCAAAGCATGCACAACCCTAGTAAGAATCACTGATATAGCAAGCAAATTGAAAAAAGAAAACAGCTTAAAACTAAATCCATATTGGTTATCTTAATTTCTAGTACATTTTACGTATGAAAATGTTCATACTTATAATTTGCACTGGCTAAAGGTATTAGGTTGAGAAACACATAATCTGTCGATATGTCAGGAGGGCCTTGGGGGTTCATGGGAATTGATCCAGCTCACATCACACAATGTGATGAGTTTTTCTTTTTTATTGGCAACTGCAAGCACAGTTAAAAAGTTTGGGTTGGGGCATGGGAAATAATTTAGGCACTAAAATTCTTCTTCCCACTTCCATTTGAGGCTTCACTTATTTGCATCTAGCCACACGTTTAAAAGTTAACTCTCTCTCGGATATACTGTATGACCATGTTTTTTGGCTCAAAGTGGGTGCATATGCATTGCTGTTTCTATATTCCTACTTCCTATGTAACAGTCAAATAAGGGTTATTTATGCTGGCTGGCTTTCTTTCGCTCTCATTTCTCCTGCTGGCTAGCCAAATGTGATCTGTCTTCTGCAGCTTTCCATAGTGAGTAGAGCCTTCCCCCATCAAGCCTTCTTCCTTCACTGGGCCTTCTTCAGAACCACACTCACCTCCACTTCACGAACCTTGCCCTGGGCTCTCTTGGAATCAACACCAAGACTTCAACAATCAAAACTATCTGAAATCCATTTTGGTTTGCCAGCCATTACCCTGTTCCTCTCATTTGTTCTCTTTCTTTGAGTCTCCAGCTTTCTTCTCCTTCTTGCTGAGACAGCAGTAGCACCCCTTCTCCTGCTTTTCCTATGGCAAAATGTGCCCACTCTTTCTTTTCAGTATCCACTATAGCTAAAACGAACAACATGTCTGGGTGGGTGTATGTGTGATAG